ATAAATATACAAACAGTAAATTTTATTTTATTTTTAAATTGAGATGTCTTGCCCACTATATTAATAAATCTAAGAGTTATCACTCACATTATGACATTATGGCCATAACAAATGTGTGATTTAATGGTAGCTCACATCATCTAAAGACCAATAATTGCAACTGATTGCTCTAAAATGTAACGCATGGCAGTTCATTTAAGAAAAAAAAACAGAATCAGTAAAAATATAAAGCTTGGAGAAAATAAAAGGCAACAGAAATTGAATATGCATGTAGCTATTTTTCCAAACTCCTTTCAAAACTATTCATATAATTTAAAAGCATTCAGAAATGAGGTCAGCTTCTGGCAGATCATGTGGTCCTGACTTTACCGAACCACTGTTCTGTGATCAGCTCCGTATGTGTCATCCTTCTGCTGTGTAATTTTGTTTCCAAAGTCTAAAGATATCATTAAAGTGACATGTCTGCAGCCTGGTATAATAGACTGAGCACTTTGCACTTTAAAAAAAAAGTCACAAATTTGTTAATCATTAAAGATATATTGAACAGAATTTCTCTGTAATTATTGTATGGTCATCAGAAACATCTTAGTTATTCTTTGAGAGAATAAAGTTTCCAAGAAGACAAGAAAAATATTGCTGCAGACACAGAACTTCAGTTTTTCTTAAAGCTTACCAAGAGCCCTCAAGTTTTGTACACTTTTCTCTTTTCTTAATATCCTCCTCAGTCAAACACCTTGCTTCCTAATCTCTTAAGAGAAGACAAGGTCTGGAACAGTGTCTTTCATATTGTTGTCTTAAAGCAAAAGCAAGAACTTAAGCTAAATATTAAGGAAATAATATTGGTCTATAACAGAAATCAATTGAATAGTTGATGCAAAGTCAGCATTACCTGGATGTTTAAGAAACTTTCAGGGAAGAGGGAAGCATTGAAAATAACTTGGTTTTGTAGCCTGAATTTCCCTGAAATAAGTTTACTAGTCCAGGGAGGCTTTTTTATCTCTTTGGTATGTAACATCTTTCTGAGCATAAGGAGTAATCAGACAGTACTCAAGAACGTTAGAAATAATAAGAGGAAGAGGAAATATTTCTGAAAATAAATAGCTTCCAATATATTTTTCATTATCAAAACTAATAAACAGTTATTGTTCAGATAGGAGCAAGAAAATGAACTGGTTTTAGAAATTTAGAGCTCAGGTTATTCAAACAATACTATGCTTTTATAAATACTGAGTGCAGTTGAAGTATTCATCTTTGCAAATTACTGAAAAGAAAATTCTTATTCTTATAGAAGCAATGTAAAAAGCAAGAGATCATTGACACTGTCTTTCATACCATCTTAATAACCTAGTCAAATACAAATATCAAAGGCTTCAATCAAAATTGGCGTGCAGACCTAACTAGTTGAGGAAAACTGATGAAAATAGATTTTCAAGAAATCAGGCAGAAGATAATTTCATCCTTGTTTAGAGTTTGAAGAGGAAAACCTCTTTTAGACTACCATGAAACACATTTTGAAAATCAGAGGTTTCCTGGCAACTGTAAACTGCAAATTTGAAATTATCTAGATTCCACACTAGAAATTACTTTATTTGTCTTCCTTCCATAGGGATGTACTACAGAGGTCAAATCAACAACTTGTTATTCATCTACAATATCTCCTTTTAATAGGTGTTTATACCACTTACACTGTAGATAAGTTCCCGAACTTTTTTCATACCATACACAACATAAATCCCTTTGCTCTCTCATGCATACTTTAATAAACATTTAAAAACATCCTTTTGCTACTACATGTGACTATTAATGTTTCAGATAGTCACAGAAAATGGAAAAGAATTTAATTTAGTAAAATTCCAGAAATGGAAATCTTGAAGGCTCAATAAAGAACTTCTATCACAAGTGGCAAATTTCATCCCTTCCAACTGTATAGGCATAACTTTCCTTTACATTTTTCTATGTTAAAAAAAAACTTTTAAAGTTTTTAAGAAGCTGTCTTAATCTTCCATCTTAGGGTCAGCTTCTGTAAGTGTATTAAGGGTTCTTAAACACTGTGATAAACAGCTGCAAAAGTTATTACCAAATCTGCACATCATATTCTGGAGACTTTGCCATGTATTAATTGTTTCATTCTGTGAACAAAGATTCACAAGTATTTCATTTTAACCACTGTTTATCATTACGAGCTCATCAAGTCCACAGTGGAATTCTTACCAAGGAATTATCCCATATTATTGTGAATACATACAGTGAAATGTCCTGTGTCCTCTGCGTCCATAAACTTGAACAACTACATTAGGAAATGTTTTATGTTTTTTGCAAATTTGAGCTGGCTAGTACCTCTTAGAAAATTATTATAACAAATAATTTCTGTCCAAAAAAAAAAATGTTTAATGCTAAGTAGAAATGAAAAAATAAATTTGAAAAATTTAATTAATAAGAAAGGATTAGATAACAGAGAGATTATTCAATCAATTTATAAATCAATTGCTCAGATCAGTAATGGATTCTGTGCTGTTGTTCCTGGTAGAAAAAGACTGCAGAAGGACTGGTAAAAGTACAGAGAAAGTCAAACAAATAGATGGATCAAAAGAGGACAAGCAACCAAATATAACAGCTTCTCTATGAGGAAAACTGGACTAAGGTTCCACAGATTCAAAAAGAGAAACTTAAAAGAGAAATGACTGAAGGGTAAAAAATTATGAGCAATCTAAGTTTCTTTGGAACAGTGGGGGTTTGCCTTTTTCAATTCAAACACATCACATAAAATCACAGCTAGAAAATTCAAAACAAAAGTATCTTTTCAAGATGAACTCTTAAGCTGTGGAAATCCCTGCTGCAAGATGGAATTTAGCAATTTAGAAAAATAAATCTATCAATCAAATCCCTTTATAGTAATTTATGATTTATTCTTAAATGTTATTTCCGGGTCTCTGGCATTCTCTGAACTACAAACCACTGATGAATGAAGAATTCCATGGCACAATAATACTGTACCCTATTTCCTCACCCTCTTAACCAGATGTATTACAACTGGAAAGAACTATGGTAAATTGATCTTTGCTCTTACCCAGTGGAGAGTTTTTACACTCTGAGAGGCTGACAGGCTAAGATATACACTGAAGATTGACAGTTCAAACAGTAAGTTGCTTTGGGGGCACAATCCTTTGCACAGGAGTTTTGAAGCTGCCAAGAGTTCAGTAATTTTCACAGCATCTGCTTGGCCATCCTGGATCCATCCAACACTATTGGGCGTTCAGAGCTCAATTCACTGGCTACAAGAACCAAAGTATTCAACATCTACATCAGATATGGAAGGCAGTGGACACTCTCATGCAGAGGTTTTCCCTCTAGTCTTAGCCAGGGAGAAGGCAGGCAGACACTTCTGGCCTCTCTGAAATGTGTGGCTTGTCTTCACATTCAACTGCTGATGTAGTCAATCAAAAACTGTCTGGCCTTGCAATGATAAATATTGTTGTATCTAAATTGGAGAAGAAGACATAATGTTTCCTAGCTTGCAGACCAGGAAAAAAAAATTAAAAGAGGGTTTTCAATTGCTTCTTGAGGAATAATTTTGGGAGAAGCATTACCCTGTACTTACACTCTTCGCACAGTACCCTCCGTTGTTACTGTCATAAGCAGAACACTAACTATAGAAACACAGCTGCTTCCATGTTATTTTACAGAACTTGACCATTTTTATCTGGCTACATTTAGCAAAATATCAAACAGTCTTCAAAAAAGCCTGATAATCAGCATATTTTAAAGGAAGGAAAAGAAAAAAAAAAAAGTGAGACTGTGGCATAACTATATAGTTATTCTTCAGAATATCTTTCTTTAGTAACCATAAAGAGAGGCATATCTCTATTGCTCTTCAGCCCAGCTGACCCAGGTGTTTTCTGTTCAAGAATTGCTTTCTTACAGACACAATGTTCTCCTGCCAGTGCCAGCAGTTTCACTGGTAATGAAAGAATTGTGCAGGTTACCTGCTGCAGTTGGTAACTACATCATGGTTCCTGCTTTTTCCTGAGGTAGTGGAGGCAGGGCACTACAGATCCCTACAGAAGTCTGTGGTTAGGGATGTGGCCTGTGCCCACCTGCTCTCACCGAGTCATTAGCAGGGTAGAAATTGACTGTCAGCTACAGCTACCAAGAGCTCTGGAAGCTGAGACATGGGTAAGGAGTTTTGCAGCTAACCTTGAACTGGAGGAACCAGGGACATTGTCCAGAGGGCAGAAATGGCGTTCCTACCACACCTGAATTCACTCTCATAATCAGCCAATTCAGTAGCCTGAGACATTACAGCTGAGACATTTCCTCCGGTTTATTGCCATTTGATATAGATTTCTTTACTTTTAAATTACATTAGTCAGAAACTATCACCAAACACATCTTTCATTCTTCATTTCTGAAAGCTTCAGTTGCTTACAAAGGCCTTTACAATCCAAGCTGTTCAGAAATTCCTATATAACATGAAAGTAGCTAATCTGCCAAGACAGCTTTCTTAAATATCTGTTGTTTTTCAGGTGTACAACATATTTTGTTATTCTTGGAAAAACAAAAAGTCAGACAACTCAAGAGTTAACTGATTAAAGCCACAGAGTTTCATGTAACAGGAAAAACGCCAACAAAAAATATTATTCTAGAGTTCATTTTCTTGCTCCCAGCCTTGTATTCCTGTCAGAAAAGATTTTTAAATTTAAATAAGTGTCAAAACATTGGTTGAGGGTTTGCTTTGCTTTTGTTTTGGTTTGTTTTGGTTTGTTTTTTAAGCAGAGATCCTTATCCCCTTCTTAGTCCAAATTATAGTCAAATACTTTTGGGTTCCTTAGACACTCACTTTCCTACTAAGACTCACTTTCCTAAATTAAGGTTTGTAAAATGATATCAGAATTACATTTTGCTGCTGAACTTTTTTTATTTAGGACATCAACAATTATGAGCTGTATAGTGTCTTGAGATAAATTTCAGTTGTTCTTGTTTGCCAGGGGCTCCTTTAATCACTTCACTCTTGTTTTGTCCATTCATCGAACAGCTCAAATTTATTCATACTCAAGGTTTATTACTCAAAATCTATATTTTGTTTTGCAGGTGATATGAGGAAGCTTTCCAAGGAATTACAGTGAAATAAAATCATGGCAGGGGTGGAGATTTTAGTTTCCATAAATAGACCCTGACTTTATAAAGTCCCTTGTACTGAGAAAGTAGAAAAGAATATTATTTACATGTGAAATACTTTTCTGTGAATCCTGCCAAATGTGGAAGCTGGAATGTTTTTTGATTTTGCATGAGTACCAGCTGTTCAGGTAAGCATACGAAGGATGGCAGATAAATTGAAATGTATATGTGGCTGGCAGATTGAGCCATGCAGAATTACAGGAACTGAAATGAAGAAATAAACTGATAAATGTTTTGGGGATTGAAACCTGAAGTAATTAACCTACACATTTAGTACCATAATCCATATTTGGCTCTTGCTAGCTGAATCCTAGCAGAACAGCAGGGCTCTGTGTTGAAGGTAGGTAGGTAACTACTTACATGTAAAAAGCCCAACAGTAACAACTGAAAGACGAATTTACCTATTTGATATTTCACTAAACATTTCTTAGCCCATTTCCACCTACCATTCAGTGTACAAAACACTTTAAATAACCTTTGCAAATGGCTTTGAACATGCTTTTTGTACAAGCTCTATTTCTAATTTTAAATGAAAATTATTATAATTATTCAGTAATGTCAACAACAGACCTGCAAACATATGCTTACTTTTAACAAAATCAGGTGAGTTACCTGAATTTTATTTTAAAGATTCTCTCATTTATACATCATACACTTGACTTTTATTTTACTATAACGGTCTCTCTTCAGCTAACAGCTATCTTGGGGTTTTCTTCTGAGTGGATAATAAAAAGTCGAGTACCATTGGCAGTAAGACATTTTTGTTGTTTCTTAGTTAAAAATCACATTTACAGTAATTATTTGAAAACACCTACATATTTCATGACTAATTCTCATTATCGACCTTCTAAGTATCTAAGGTGCGATTTATACTTTTACAGTTGGTAATGCATGTTTTAGGGGAAATGAGACAATATACAAAAGATAGTATATGATATTATAGTTATGATGTGTCTGTACTATCTTTATACATCTAGTTAAAATTATTTATCACTGAAATGTGCATCTACTGAAAAGATAATGCTTTTATTTCATTTCCTATCCAGATGATACAATAACTTTTTAACTGAACAATAACTTTGCCATTTCACTCTAATATAAGTTCATTGTGATAAGATGTAAGTTTATAATGAGTTCTTCTTTGAAAACACTGAAAGATTAAATAACTTTCTCTTCTATAGAAATCTGTAAAATATACCTAATTTATTAATATTTTTGAAAGAGTGCTCTGAAAATAATGGAAAAATAATAGACTTCCTGTATTCATACATACTAGAAGATATTTTATAACTTACCCTCAGAAACTTTGTAATGACAGGCTGGGCCAACCAAATAAATTAACCAAATAAAACACACACAGCCTCTCCTATACTAAAGCTATCGTATAGTTAAAATTAAGTGTCTTTCTTTAAAGTTTTATAGTTCAAGAAAGTTTTGGAAATATTTATTATAAGGGCAGTGTAATATGGCTTCTTTTGAAATGCATTGATAGGAAAACAAAGCTTTTATGCCTGAATTATACTTATTCAATAGCAGCACTTCTCTGTCTTTGAATAAATATATATTAGTAGATAAAAAGGAATGGTTACAACATAAAACTAAACACTAAAGCAATGTATGCACACTTGTGCATATTAAATATATTTTCAGTTGCTGTTTTCAGTAACTGGGACAGTTTTAATAGTCTTCACCTTAGATTTTTAAATACCTTAAAAATAAAATACCTATGGTTTTTAAGTCAAATATTTTTTAAATATTTCCACATAACACTAAAATATATGGTAACTAATTTTCCTCATTTATGCTAAATATCTGATTCAACTTTTCAACAAAATTTCACTTTTTTAATATCATCAACTAATCAATGTTTGTAATTAAAATACAACAATATACTCTTAGGAGTAACAAAATACTGCTGAGAAGAAACTTCAGAGAATATTTTTAAAAACAAAAATATTTAAAATATTGACAATTTGTATAGCTACACCATGGAATTATAAACATTTTTACCACTTGTTAACCAGTCTTAGGAAAAAAATACTTTGACATTTTATTCAGACACGGAAAACAAGTAATGATCCAATATCACTACATTTCACTTGTTCAAAAAATGCACTATTAGAACAGAAGAGTAACACAATGGTGTACAGGAAAAATATATGCTCTTTTTCCAGTAGAAGGCAAAATATAGGTAACCTGAGAGACAGACATACTAACAATATTTTAGAAATGAAAATATTATATTTAAAATTAACTATCTCTAGTTCCATAACTCAAACATATTATTTGGAAATTTAAGTAATTTAAAATAGTTTAAATTTTAAAACATTGGTTTTAACCAGTCTATTATTTTCTATTCATTCGTCACTCAAATATATTCCATAATAAGGTCTACAAGCAAATATGTCTTCTTAGTAAAGAACAAAACACAGTACCCAAAACAGTATTTTGCACAGGAACAGTATTAATTTAGGTTTTAGTGGGTCCATGTCTCTAGCTTACCTCAGAAATAAGTTCTCCAGCATACGTGAGTCTTGGAAGTCTTTGCAGCACATTTCTACTCTGCTGAGACCATACAAACATGCATACGCTTTATATTTATGTATATCATTCACACAGAAATATGCAATGTTAAACAGCCTCAACATCACAATGTAAGAAAATTGTGGATGGTTGTGAGAATATCATGCTCTTGAAGAGCTTCATAAAGCATAAGTTATTAAGTAAGCATTGTCTTGAGCCTGAATTTAGCTAAATAAAGATGAAAGCTTGTCAAAAAGTTGAAATGATACACTAACAAATTGACAAAATTAATATATTATTATAAGTCATGAATAGTTTAACCACAAAATTAGATGCTGTTTTTCTCTCTTTAATCAGATTACAAAATCTCTCCATTGTACGCACAGACATGCAATTATATTTCCATAAATAATTATTTAAATTATAATCTAAACATTCAACTACTGTGAATATTTTAAATATATTCATTGATGTTGTTCTATAGTGTACAAGAAAAAAATATAAATGCTGCCACAGGTAATTATTAGTGGCTTGGCTGTCAGTTAGTCAAATCAACTAAAAGACCAATTACTCTGACGATACACAGGTTGAAAGGCTGGTTAAAATAGAGTTCATTGCTGGCATTAGGCTGTGTTTGGCAAGTTCTGATTCTACAGCAGTGGGGGTACAATGCACTGTGAATTATTATAATGAGGATATTTTGCATCTGAATTCACATACAGTAACTCATCCTCAACTTCAATCTCTTAATCTTGCTTAAACCTGTAAAACACACAGACCACACTTCCTATGATGCAAGCACTGAATTACATTTCTTACTAGAAAAACTAAGGTTTAAATGAAGACACAGATAACGACAAAAATGTTTCCTGCAAACCTTTTTTTTCTTTCAAGCATGTCTGTAGAGACCCAAGCAGGTCATGAAGGAAATTCTGCTTCTGAAAGAAGGCAAATTGCTCTTGAAAATTCTACATACAGAGTACAGTCATATCCTCCTCATGGAATATGTTTGCCTTCAGAAACATCAAATCCAAGGTGATTTTTTAGATGACTATAGCACTCTGGAAAGACTTATCAGTCAAATGAGCAACCTCCATATCTGACATCTATGGTGTGTTGCTGTTGAATCACTTTCAGAGAGCAGTGTCTATAGCACTAATTACTTTCCAAGACCTGTAGTATTTTACTTCTTTGCCTTCATAAAAAAAAATTACACACAAATCATAAATTTAGGAAGTAAATTAGGGAAGGATGGCAAAGTTCTTAAAAATATTTCCTCAAGCAGTCTGAAGAATATTTTTAATTTGTTCATGTATGCTAACAAAACCAGAACACCCTAAGAAATCTCAAGCTTTACTCTCTACTGCTCAAAAAAGTTCATAGTTTTATTCCAAAAAAATTATTATTGTCTTCTTCAGTCACTACAGAATTTTAGTACTACATATTGCTGAAAAGATATATTAAAGTAACCACTAAAGCTCTGGGAGAGAAGACATCTAGGTGTTTCCAACCAAATTCAAGTACTGAGCACCATAATGCTGTGTTCATACTCAGGGTACTACATCAATAATTGTATCTCTCCTTAACAAAAACAGACAACAATTGATTGCTGTTTATGAATTTTATTCCTGCTGAAAAACAAATAGGACACATGAATGTTATAGTTTTATTACATATTGCTAACTGGTAAAAAGAAAACTGAGCAGATTTCTTTTTAATACAATGAGATTCTTCATCCACTAAACAAAAAATAATGACTGAGTGAATTCCATTTAAAACAACTTAAAGACTGAAAATATCACAGAAATTATACAGAAATGAATCAAAGTCACTCATGCATTTGTAAGTAAATAAGGCAGAGATACTTTTTCGCCTCTTTAGATGCCATGTATGTAAATAAAATATGAAAACTTTTTAAATAGCCATCTTGTGCTACATAATAATTGGCAAAATTACCAATTCTTTTATTGTTGACTGCAAGCACTTGCAGTTTCCCTTGTCCATTACTGAGCTCCTGAATTGTAAATGAAGAGCATCATTATTTAGCTGCATTATTAGCTAATTTTAGCAAATCCAATTAGTTTTAAGTACCTGATACGTTAATGTATTTATCTTACCGTGTGTCCTGCTATTGGATTTCTTGAGACTAAAAATTATTTCATCAAAATGAGAGCAGACTTATATAAAATTCTATTTGTCTCCATTTATAATGAAACATCATTGTTGATAATGGAACACTGTGTGATGTGATTTGACTTGGAATACAAGCTTAGATTAGCTAGTACTTGCAGTTAGAAATAGCACAGATTTTATTTGGTTTTATTTGTTGCATTAGTATTTACTTGAATCAGATAGTAAAAATGGAAAATGCTGAGAAGTAGTTCCACCTTGGCAGAAGAGGAATATTGGTTCAAACTTCACTGTACCAATAGATATAAGATCATTATTAAATGTTGCCTTTTTATTAATCAATTCATCATTAGAAACTGTCAGTGATGCAAGGAGAAGCAACTTAAACCATGACAGATTAATTAACACATAAGATTTGTTTTGCTTTTTATCACTCTTAAATGTAAAATATTAACATTCTACAGCACTCTCCAAATAAAAAAAAAAAAAAAAAACCCATAAGGTATATATCTTTATAGAAGTCTTCACTAGAAGTATATATCTCTTTATAGCAATTACCTTATTAAAAGAGTTGAAATTGTATAAAATATAATTGCAGAAGCATTATTTTAAAATAAATATATAAGGTCTAAAGTAACATGAAAGGGAAAATATACATTTTTTAAATTCTACAGCCACTTGATCTGGGATTAGCAGATCTTAGGCAATACTGTATTTCCTTAGACTGCAAACCCTCAGGAGATTTAAACAAATATTTTTTTTTACCATTTCAGGATACAGTCTCTCCCGGGAAAAAATTACCAAGCCTTTTTCTCCTAACATTTTATACCAAAAAAATAATTGGCAAATAAGAAGAATTTAAATTCTAAGAAATGAATAGTAATGAACGGATAACTAAAATATTGCTTAAAGGTTCAAATACAGAGAGATTGCAATAATAGTACTATTCTGTTAAGCTATGTATACTTCATTGAAGCCAGCGGAAAGGAAAACATACCATATCACCACCATACCGCAGGCATTTTCATACAGCCTAGTGCAAATTCAAAGCTTTCTCTGACTGTGCCAAATAAAACAGCCACAACTATTTTTAAATACATCAGGAGTCCATGACCCCATAAGTAGTAACTTCCCTTTCTTGATGGAGTGCGCATCTCACTTTTATAAGTGTCAACGGTTTCTGGCTGGCTGGCCAGAGACCGCGGCATACTCTGCTTTTCTCCCAAAAAGGCCATGTCATTCTTATACAACTTAATCAGTGGCTACATACAAGAAAGCAACACTGCAGCCTTTCTGATCATTTTAATGAGGACCCCTGGCTATTCAGTCATTGAAATATAATTGACTTGCTCTTCTCTTATTTTCATAATAGACACTCCAACCTAGACCACATTTATTTTGCTATAAGAAATGTCAAGAAAGATTGGAAGTTTTCTGAGTGTCCCCATTAAAACTGAAAACATGCCACCCTGTCTTTTGCATTAGCTGCAATCATTTTGTATAGAACTCATTATGCAGATAGAAGATGTAAATGTTTCATCTATCTCACATCTAACCAAGCTGCAAGTGCCAAGAAAATAAGCAGGAGAAGAATAATTTTCTTTCTATGTCTGTGCCTGCGCCCGTGGTGTTTGCATTGTTTCACAATGCCAGCACCCATGAGTGCATGTGTATGCATGTGCTCACAGACAGCATACACACAGCACAAAGTCCTAATATCTTATTTCAGGTAAAACCTAAAGGTTTCTTGGCACACATCATCACAGCCAAGGAAGAGCATTTTTCTCAACAGAAGCAGCTCTGTGTAACAATAACTATTACTTTAAAATCAGCTGAGTAACAGAAAGCATTTGAATGAGAAGATACCATCATGCACAGGAATGCATTCAATGTTGGTTTTTAAATAGAATAATGAGCATGTGCATGTCAAATGTGTTATTTTGAAGAAGTCCTAGTCATTTCCTATGACCACCCAGTTCAGTAAACAAAACATCAGGTAAGGAACTGCATCTATCATAAGATAACTAAGTTCTGTTCATATCTGTCAGGACTGTAACACGCATTTCCCAGCTGAACACATTATACAGGATATCTACCATGAAAACTCATTCACTATTGACTTAACTGTGCAATTTGCAGTGCAAGACAGAAGATATCTCTTCCTGTCAATTATTAACACATACAGCATCTTACTGATCCTACCAGTAAACACTACCCTTCTACATCATCACTTTTTTAGTAATTTAAAGATTTGACTATGTAAGTGTCCTTTCTTCGCATGCTACTAAACACTCAAAATAAAAACCTCACATCTCACAATTTTCCCATCAGGTTTTCAGCCTGAAAAACATTTCCAAAAAACTTCCATGATATAGCCAATGAACAATGAAAAGATCAGAAATATAATTGCTACAAGATTTGATATATTTAATCCGCATTTGAATAGGGAAAGTGGATTGATTTTTACAAGACTTAGAAAATTCTGTTCTGATGTATTAGATATTATTACAGAGGGGACAGAAAAATCATACTTTACCTTCAAGCAACTGCATACTGAAATAACAGAAAGGGGTGGCAAAACAGATATTTTAAGTCAATATTTAATGTCATACATTATCATTTTTGCTCACAAGAGTGCTGACAATTCCCTTACCCATTTTTAGCATAAAAACATGAAAGTATCATTCTTTCTGGCATATTTACACAGTTTATTTTTGACGTCCTTACATACAGGGCTTGAGAAGGAGTGTTTCTGGATCTCATTTTAGTGGGGCACTGTGTTCCAACCAACCCCAGCCCTAGAGCAATAGGGCCGGGTCCTTCCCATCTGCCCCATGCTTGTCTTCTCCTACAACTCAAAGATGTTGCTTCATGGCACCTTCAGGAAAAAAAGACTTCTGAGCATCATGGAAGCTATCTGTTTGCATGTACATCCTGTCACCAAGCCATGGCCCCGTGCACTCACACAGATTTCCCTGGGCCTGGCAGAAATAATCAGCGTACAAGAGGGAAAGGAAGAACCCCTAGGCTTCCTCTGGATCAACATCAGTGCACACTTTCATTCTACTTTGGCAACACATGAGTGTACCTCACAGAGTACTTTATGCACAGCAGCAGCACTTGGATTCTAACTGATACAGGTTTCAGTAGTGCAAGCATGTACAAATACAGCTTTTCACACACAGATAATGTTGTGTAATTTAAATGTCTAGAACTGAAACTATCAAAGTGAGTTTTATTTACTCCTTTGCTGCAGCTACTTTACTGATTTTATATACAAAACTCCTAGATAATGAGATTTCCACCAGTTTGGGGTTTTTTATGGAAATCATGAAATTTTTTTCAGTCTTCTTATGAGAATTTTGTCTTTAATTTGGAATTTTAAATAAATATATAAATAAGTAACTCCCTTTTTCTAGCCCAGCTGTGTGTTCAATAAGAACTGTAACAAATGTCATTCTTAGAGAGAAACCAAGAAAAAGTAAAAACTTTGCAGCTGGTTTCACAAACAATCTCTCACACTTGATCATGCCTTTAAAGTGAAAATATTTCATAAGAAAAAATAAAAGGACTTCTTTTTGAGAGCTGCTTGGCTGCTTGAGGTTTGCCAGGTTCCAGCAGGTGAGATGGAACTTGGCTGGCAGCAAACACTTGAACTCTTCCTACTCATCCTTCTTGTCCCATGACACACTTCCCGCTTTCAGGCTGTGGTCAGGCATTAAATCTGTCTGACTTCTCTGGCTCCCAAACTACTGCATGACCTTTGGGCATCCATGTAAAGGAGTTCAATTCTTGTCCCCTTCTTGTTACAATCCACTTTAGGATACCGTTAATAATCTTGGTTCTCATCCTGCTTCTTGTTTGCTGTTAAGAGATCACCAATACCCTCCCCTCTGGTCTCAGAAGCACTCCTGTTTTCCCCAGACAGTCCATCCAGGAATAAGCAATAAGATCTCATTCTATGCTCTATAGGTCAGGAAGTTCCAACCCTCACAAGTGTTGTCCATGAACTGTCTCAATAAAGACACACTTGGTCTGGCAGAGTAGATTCACAGGGAAAAAGAGAAAAAGAAAGACTATCACATAGGCAAACAACCAGTTTTGGAACTCAGTGGGTTTGATTCTGTTTCTGAATCATCTTTTCTCCTGTGATTTGGAAAAGGAAAAGGCAAAGAGGCTCTGCCTCATCTTGTTCTCAGTGTAAAAGAAGACCCTTTCAGTCAGGAGATTATCACAACCTCCCTAAAATGATGGTATCAGGACCAAGTCTGCCTCACACAGCTGAGGGTTTGTACTGTAGTCCAGAGGGATGTGATTTAGAAAGGTGCTTGTGCCCACCCATGTGCTTCCTGTGACAAAAAGAAAATCCTGTTCAGCCACAGCACAACAACACCCCTCTACTGTCATTCCTCAGCAAAGCTTCCAGTCCTCTCTCATTAGCCTTGAAGACCCTCCATACCCTGTCACATGTCTTCCTCATTCACCTCTCCCTCAGCCATCTCTTGGTTATTTTTCAGACTGTTCTCTATTTCTGCTGTTCCACCTTGACATTTCTGAGGAACCACTTCTACAGTCTCCATATACAACCTACACGTGAACTGTTCATGCACAAGAAGAGGATGACTTCAAGAGCAGAAATTATGTGAAATGAAAAATATAAATGGAGATGGAGGAAAGGTGCAGGAGGAGAATCTTATTGTATTTAACCTCAAGGAAAGTGACTTTTTCTTCTTCAATTTGCATTTCACTCTAATTAAAAATTAGTTTTAAATGGTAAGAAAAAATCACTTTTACAAAAAAGACATCAAATTATTTGCGGGGTGGGTGGTGTTTGTGATAACTGAGAGTGTCAGAATTCAGACTCTCTGTTTTATACTCTCTTGTCAAAAGCCAGAATCATTTCTTTCTTCTTGCTTTAGAAAAAAAATCTATCAAAGCCACAATGTAATCAGAAAATAATAAAATCATAGAATCATAGAATGAGTTGGAAGGAAAGGCCAAGATCATGTAGTTCCAACCTCCCTGCTACAAGCAGGAACACATTTCACTAAACCAGATTGCTCAGGGCTCCATCCAGCCTGGCCTTGAACACCTCCATGTGTGGAGCATCCATAACTTCTCTGGACAGCCTGTTCCAGTGCCTCACCACCCTTACAGGAAAAAACTTCCTCCTAATACCTAAACCTACTGCCTTTCAGTTTGAAGTCACTCTCCCTTATCTTGTTATGGCATGTCCCTGTAAAAATCATGGGAAAATAGCAGGGTCTAAAGTTTTATACTGTACAAAAAGCAGCAGTCTTTTCCCTGCAAACATTTCCATGCACCAAGTGGTCATTTCACTATTTTGTTTACCCTGATCAGAAGAGACCAGCTGTCACCCACAGCAGCAGTGTGTCTTGATCAGGGTTTGATTTATTGGAAAAAAACAAAAAAGTTCTGACTAATTGCATGTAAATCCAGGATAATTTGGAAACCCCAAAGGAAAATTGGGCCACTGGATAAAAGAGGAGATTTACGGTCATTTTTCCACAAAGGCACTCTGGACCAAAGAAGTAAGAATATAGCCATCAGTAAGAACTCTCTAGTTCTCTCAAGCAGGTTGATGGAGGGAGAAACTGTATTGCTGCTGGACAATAAATAAGAAATCTAACTGCTCAGACAACTCTAGTGTGTGTCAAAGAGAGATAATTGATTCTATCAGGAATTAGGCATGAAATTCCTTCTTAGAGTCTGAGTCCTACTATCTATTTGATACCATTTTTAACAATAAGCCAGCAAAGGCATTAGGAAGTTATAGATCTTTAAAAATGGTCATGAAGCCTGGAAACAGGAATAGCCACATGGTCATCATATATTGTGACATGTTTTCCACACTTACTACCTTCCACAAGTTACCAACAGCAGCAGTAAAGACCTGTTAAACCTGCCTTCCCAGGCTTCTGTATTTACCAGGGATTAACTGGAGTAAATGCAATACTGTCCTTCTCTTCTCATCATTTATTATGTGCTTAGCATTTGGAAATATTTGCAGGTTTTATATGTAAATGTACATACACAGATATGCATGAGCATGCATCAAATGCCATTGTAGCTAAAATGAAGTCTATTAAGTGTCCTATATAAATAAAAGATTTATTATTTTCGCCTTACATGGGGAAAGCATGTACTTCAACAAAATAAGCCACAACCAAAATATCACCCCAAAATTCTACTTTTGAGGAATTTCCAGTCAATCATAATCATTTAAATCATTTAAAAATAAAATTTAAAAAAAAAACTGTCTCTGGATTTTCAGACAATATTTTGTCTGTCTTTGCTTATACTGTGTAATACTTCAGAGCTACGCTCTGTCCTGACTGATGTTTTTTGCTTTTTTTCTTCATTTGAGCAGGGGAAGCCTAGGGCAGTGAATGTCACTGGGAGTCAAGGTGCCTCACAGACAGGCATGCTTGCCTTCAGCAAATCTACAGATTTGGTCCTCAAGAACTCTTGGGATCTCCAAGGAGAAGTGGTAAGTAAAAAAGCATTCTGAATATTTACATTTCAGCTGTAAACACCTAAATTCTTCTGCAATCTTCAATCTCCCTGAGTAGGATGGCTGTTTAACTGTAATGCGAATATCTCAGCTGCTCACCCTGAAGTCTATGCAATCAGTAGCACTTTAATAAAGAGTCTTATCCAATACAAAAGTCTGATATTTTACAAATATCTAAAATCAAAATAAATCACGCCTAGAAAAGCTTATCTTTCTCCACTGACTCTTATCAGCAAAGGAATGCTTAACTGGGATTTGGAGATCTGCATTGCAAGCATCTACATCTGCTCAGATGAACCCCACTACCAGCTGTCTTTTTTTCAGTGGGAAATTACTGTGTATCCCATCCTAATAGGGAAACAGTGATCATAAATGCATCAATGATTCTGAGATATGGGAATCCCTGACCTTGGTGGTGTATCATATAAATCTCTTTTAACATAAGGAAAAAAGCACTGGTCTCTCCTTAAGTATGGCTATGTTCAAATACAAATGAAACTTGTTCCAGACATTTAAAGCTATATGATTTGTGATGCAAATACAAGTTCATAGTAGGGGCTCCCCATCAGGGTTTTATTTTGGCTGCCTATTTGAATATATTTCCTCTGGGATTTAATCATGACTCTGGTAGCCACACCAAGTAACATCTTGCTTTACCAGTTACTGCACAGAAAGCATTTTTGGAAGGTGACCCTTTGCCTCCAAAGTTCTGGAAAATGTAAAAATGCAAAAAGAGGCAAGGAAGCAGAAGCAAGTTTCCTTAGCTAAAGGTATTGTTCCAAGCCAGCAAGTGTGTGTGTCTCTCCTACACTGAGGTCCAAGACACGTACCAATACAGTTTTTTTTCTAGTGTAATCAAGTTGACATCTATCTACACTGATTATACTTCAGAAGGGGAGAGGGAAATTCGGGAGGTGGGAGAAAGGTTCTCTTCTCTCTGGTGGCTTCAGAAGTATCCTCCACAGGGTAGTTTGGGCCTCTGGGCATAGCCCTGAGAGATGGGTGGTGCGTAAGGAATCATGCTGGAGGACTTATGCCTCAGAGATGCTCTTCCCTATTCCTGCTTGTTCCTCAGGGGAGTAATTTGTTGCTGGTCTATACCAGCAGCAAATTATAGCAACCCCTGTGCCAGTTCAACTTGCATCTGCAAACTGGAAGAGGCAGGGGAGTGAGGGACAGAGGGCTTTGGCCTTTGCCTGACCATCTGCCTGGTGAAGCACTGGTACTATTTAGTCAGTTTTCTGCCCATTCTACAGTGCATGATGAAAGGGAAGCTACAGTGACTCTGAAGCTTCATAGTCCTGACTGTGCTGTCTGTCAAACACAACTCAATCTGCTCTTTTCTTTTGACTCTTGCAATTTACAACAATACAAGAATTTCTAAAAACGCAATGGCTGGACCCTGCTTCACTGAAAGCCTTTTTGGATCAGGGAGACTGTGTATGGCTCAATTATAAGCACTTCAAAAGCCAGTCAAAGAAGAAATGCTGGCTATTTTTTGTTGTATTTGTGTAGCATCCCAAATGCAAAATAACATCGCTCTTCATGCCTTTATTACATTGCTCTGCAAATGACAAGAATCTACTATTGCAGGATGAACCAAGTGAGTCTGGCAAGTAACTAGCTGACCTTTATACAGATTGCATTTTTATTCTCCCTCTTTGGAGGCAGTTTATCTTGATCATCATTTTCAGCTACTTGCATGATGGTTCAGCTGGTTTCTACCACTGTTTGGTTATCACATGTATTTAAAATCATTGTTACAAACACAAGTCTGTCCTCATTGCCAACAGCATTAAATAAAGATCAGCTTATTAAGAGTGGGAGTGCTAAAAGATTGGTCTTCTTTTACTGGTCTTGCATCGTCTGCAAAAGACAGTCAGGAAATCAGGCTCTTTTCATTAGTATTCTACAAACAGACCCTATGACCTTGGGTGCATCTCCTCTGAAGAGAGGTAGTCCTTCCCCTGCCTGCCTAGTTCTGACAGTGGTCTTAGAAGACAACTCACTTTTTAAACTGCAATTCCACACACCACAGCTACACTGCTGGTGTAATCCACACAGAAACCACTCCTCATATCTTTCTGTTTCTGTTTCTCTTGCTAAAGCCATTTTCTTGGTCTTTGTCTTGTCCCAGTACACGAATATAGGGTTACCAGGAGACATTTGGATGTTTCTGTCTGGGAATCCTGCCGTTAGCTAGCACACTCTATGTGCAGTTAGTGCTTGGTCTCTTGGCTGACTTCACTGACCTCCATCTGTTAGACTGGCTGTGTGCCTGCTCACAAGCCAGTCAGACTGTTTCACTAGGACACAGGTTCCAGCAAGGATGCACTAGGATGGACAGCATGTACAGTATTGCAATATGTCCTGCCTTATTATTTTTTTTTTAAAAAAAGCTTTTTTTTGCATGGTATGGCACTACAGCTTTATGGCAACTGTCATCTCATGCTGCACTTCCATTTTCAGGGAAGTCACTGAAGAAGGGGAGAAAGGCTCATTATCAAAACACTAACTGAGAGGCTTTCACACGTCACTCTGTTTGTGTCCATAAGTGCAATTCTTCTCCTTGTTCTTCATTAGAAAGGGAAGTTGGTGTGCAGCATTTCTGTTTTTTCCTTGGTGGCTCCAGTGTTTCCACAAACATTAAGTGTGGTATGTTAGAAGGAGACAGTAAATCCAAAGTTCTTGCCTGAACATGTGCATTTGAGCTTTACTTTCTTCAGTGCATAAGAAGAAATTCAGATAATAAATTGTAAAACAAGGATTTGCACCATCAAGATATATACAAGACTACTAGCCAGTAAAAAATTGTCACCAAATCTGATAACCCTGATAAATCTGCTATCAGCTCACACACACTGTGGATAGATTAATTTCTAATACACTAGGCCTAATCTTTTTAAAACACAAAGTCACAAAACAAGGTGTAATCACTTACCTGTGTATTAAAGAATGAAAACTGAACATATTTGTCAACAAGAGGTATTAGCAGTTTTTCACTGACTTTTGGTGTGTTTTGAGCTGTTTGTGGGGTAACAAAAAGATATGCAGACCAAACAAGGTTTAGAAAAAGACTCACTTTGCAACCAGTCCCTAACACATTGTCTACACTCTAGCTCTGCACCATATTCATGCAGCAGCTCATTCTAAGTCCTTTGTCTCTGCAACCAAAGCTCCCAAACAGGTAATTTATAACATGACTAACACCTTTAAACCTTGGGTTCAAGCCTCCAGCAAGCTCACTGGATCATGGCTTACATCACTTGCCCACTGCCTTCCCATAACTCTCTGCACCATATAGAAATGAAATTAAATCCACCAAGCCCCTGGAGATAGAGCAAAGTATTCACAGGGAAAAAAAACTGACAGAAAAATACCAATAGTACAGGTAGAGCTATAGTAGGGGAACACACTCAGATTAACCTATCCATGCTGATTTGGCTGATCATTTACAAACTTGGCTGATGATGGCTTATGAAAATAACAAACCACGTATCAAAAAGATTGAGTGTATAAATAATCCTAGAATAAGGCTCTTATCTGCTCACAAAATTCTCCTTGGAATTGAAATAGAGAGATTTTCTCGTGGAATTAATTAATATTTATATATGTGAGAAGGAGGGAATATTATATCAAAGATAAGTTATAATCATTACAACCCTGACAAAAAATAGTTGGTATTTAAGCGCAGGATGACCATTATCTTTGTTTTGATGACAGTTCTTGCTTTATAAGCAAGAACTTAAAAAATTTCAGTAAGATTTTCTGTGGAATTAGAAGGAAAAAGCAGCAGTCATAATTACCTTATTTTCTACTCTTAAATTATATACTTATCCAATCAAAGACTTCACACTTTAAAGTATCAATATGACACTGGTCCAAGGCAATTTACTGTGCTTACACGAAAACATATTACTTCCCATTATTCTCTCATTGCACATGTGCCTACATACAGATGCATAATTTTTAAAAGTGTTGTCTTGAAATTTTAAGTCAACTGGTTTTACTTTGTCACCTCCCACATACACAAAGATACTAATCAGCACTGTTAACATCCAGATGAGTGTTAACAAGTAAAGCCCAGCTCTGCACTTGCCCTAAATTACTTAAATAGAGAGATTGTGTAAAATCTGTTTCACCTTTTGTGAGACTTTTGATCTCTAACCATTAAATAGTAATTCTTCTGAAAATTTATTGCTCCTAATTTCAGTACTATGTGGCAAACACTTTGATATTTATTCAGATGAGATTTCCTGTTGGTAAATTTGGTGTTATTAATTGTAAAAATATTTAAATCAGCACAGAGCTCATTGTTACGTGAAGCATTTATTCCAGTGGCTCTAGTAGATGGGAATAATTTTTTTTAATACAGAACACTCTGCAAAGCACATTCACTACAGGTGAATGATTGTAACTGATTAAAATACAATTGTTAATATATAGGGCTTCTCCTCTGCCTTGTAAGGATAAAAAAAAAAAAAGGAAGAAAGAAAGGGGGAAAAAAATCACGGTTTCAGGCAGCAAAGTAGTAGCAGAAACTTGGTGATATTCCCCTCCTTTCTATGTACCTATCTCAACCCATTTGCAAACTGTAGCATCAGCTCCATGCTGCCTCGGGGATGGGAGACCAGAAGTGCTGCAAACCAGGGCTGATGTGCCTGACAGAGCTGCACAGCAAAGTCTGAGTGATGGCCTGAGCCATGCCCGGCAGTAGCCAAAATTATGAGTGGGTTTTCTTTCCTGGAGCGCTGCATTCGACTACAATCACAAATGTGGCATATGCATTAGCCAGTCAGCTGCCAGTTGATTCTATATATATTTTTACATTAAGTTTTTGAAAGCCATGTAAGAAAAAAGGTTCTGCATGCAAAGAAATATGCTGCAGCTTGGTGACTTACAGAAAGCTTTTGGGGGACACAGCCAGAATGGTACATTGGGAGATCTTGCTTGGTACGCACCCAAATGTTTTCACTTAAAAGAAACATTGAAACCTGAGATATCTCTGTGTAACTGCTATAGCTTGTCCCAGGGCAGATGGAATTCATTTACTGTGTTATTGTGTCCCAAATCAACAGCTGCGATCATTCAGCTAATGAGGAAAATTAATCACAACTATTTATATCTGCATTTTGTTCTAAAGGGGTTCAAATGTAAGCATAGAAACATCTCTTTAAAAAATGTGGAGGCCAAGGAAGACAAAATAACCTAATGATTGAAATAATTGAAAAACACTAATGCCTTTTTTAGAATAGTTTCTAATTGTTAGGTAAGTGGAGTAGAATTTCGTTAGAGGGCAAATCTTAGATTATACTGAAAATTAGTCAAAAAAGAGTCATATCCTTCCGTGACAGCTTTGAAACCTGGGGCTTTTGACTCTACGTTCCCCATCTTTTTGTAAAAACATGCAGCAGTCATTCTCAGATCCCATTTTATTGTCTGTTACTATGTTCACGTTCACAGATGAGTAAGCACTCTGAAAGTGTGTCTAACTTGTGGTTTAACAGGTCGTTTTCGCAAATGCCCATTGAACATCAGCTCTAAAAGATGAGTCTGCACTATCTCCAGACTTAAACTTGGATGTTTAGATCTACAGCACCAAATCATTTTGTTACTAAGGATAGTAGAATGCTTGAGAGCTGATGACCTCTGAAGTTTAGCCACCTACAATAACTAAGTGCTTTCCACTTAAAAAAAATTATCTCCTTCTTGACATACAGACAGACCAAAAATCAGCAGGTCCATTAAGAAAGGGTTGGCAAGTGGCTTCCCAAGATCTCCCATGTATTTTCACCAAGAGTTCTAGGAACAAAGCAGTTGGAAGACTAAGGAGAAACAGACAATTAAAAAAAAATCTTTTTCTTTTGTTTTGATCAGAGTTCCGTTTAGATACAAATTATCTGGGAAGTAGTATCTGAAAGCCTACATTAAAACAAAAGAGAACTGGGAACAATTTTGCACCCTCTCTGGCAAAGGAAATCAAATCAAATCTACAAGCCTCTCTGCTACAATTCATCCTGATAGAATTTGTAACAGCCAGGAAATTAACTCTAAACAATGAAGCTCATAATGAAAACATTGTGAGTGACAACATTAACATAATACAGAGAGAGCCTCACTGACTACCAACAGTTAAGGTCCATCCCCCATTCGCAGGATGCTCAAGTAAGGAAAAAGCAGGCCAGGTTTCTAGCTGCTAATCAGTGTTGATACAAGAGCAGTGTGCAGCAGCAGAAGAAAAAGATGAGATTAAAGTGAATATTGCACTAATGAGCATGTTCTTCCTGATGAAAGATTTTAATGTAGACTGCAAATCTCTCTTTCACATGCTTATCGCAAATGTTTCCATTTAGTAAACTGAATAGCAGAATTATATGGGTAGGTGCCAATGAACATGTCCTTAGGTCTGCAGCTAAAAAGGATTGAGGTGTTTGACACTAAATTCTGCAAGGTGCAGCTTCAAGGCACCTGAATTTCTCCAATTCCTGTGAAAGGTCTATAGTACTCTACATGGTTACAAGGTCTCATTAGCTATGTCTGTATTAGGAAGTATTTCAACCCAACAGGAGCCAGTGTGCATGCAGTCTGGAAGAGTTTGATGCTGGGAACCCAGACACTGCAGAATGTGCATTTTGTGGGCTTACATCACAGCATCCCTGGTCTGAGGAGAACACCATGTGTCCTTCTGGAGCAAGTTCCTGATTTCATTTCTTGCAAAAGAAACCAGATTGAGCGCTGTGAGAACATTCTGCAATGCAAAACAACTGCTGTCAATGGGGATGAGATGGGGATTCAGCTCAAGAAAACCCTCCTGATAAAAATGAAAATGTTACTGCACATTGTCTTTGCTACCTCAATTCATGGCATTCAAACAGATTGCTCCACAAGCAGCCAACTGCTAGGACAAGCTGAAATATCAGCTTATGCCTAATTTATCTCACACTGGAGATGAAGTCCTATAGTCACAAACAGGTTAATGTTCCTCATTCAATTCACAGCCAGGGGCCTCCACAGAGCATTGCTATAAAGACTGGTATAGAAGCAACTCAGCCTTTTTATCCAGTTAGTGAGCTAAGCAGGATTAGGCAAAACAGAAAGAGACGGGACTGATTAGAAATGTAAGTCCTTCGATCACCAGATTAAAGAAGAAGCCACTGAACATAGGTCCTCTCCAATCTGCCTGAGCACTCTGCAAACTGAGCACCTCTGGCTAAAGGAAGAACCACAACTTCTATTTTGCTGTACTTCAAATCCAGCTGCTGCTGGATTAATGTGGAATTCATGTGGGTGTTGCTGCCTGTGCCCTGGGAAACCTCCATGAGCTCTAATACTTGGTCTGTGCACTGGGCTATGGGTTTGCAGATCACAAGAGGGATTAAGAATAAAGTGAGATCCAAAATATAAGCCTCTACATACCAATGTTCAGTACAGGAGAAAAAACAAACAAACAAACAAAAAATTTTCATAAGCTCCAAAAGAGTTTAAGGACTATTAGAATTAGACATGCATATTCAGGAGCACAAGACTCCAGTATCACTGAAGAGCTTTTAGAAGCTCTTAGACGTATTTACTGGTATTTTTTTTTAATTAAAACACTCAGGTATACCATAACTTAAATTATTTTTCTGCCCAGGATATAATTTTAATATCTGTACCCTTCTTATATCTGCTTTAATCATGGTTTGCAAGGACTTTACAAAGGCTACTTGACATTTTACATGCATAAATCTTATCCATAACTTTTGAGCAAACCTGAGATGTTTTTGATGAGAAGCAAAAAAAGGAGGGGGAAAGCCAGTTTTCAGATCTTTTAGATTCTCTTAGTATCAGACAGCATCTGTCCAATGTAGTTTTATCCAAATGAGAATACATTGATGTAAATTGGGTGAAATTCCACATTCCAAACTGCAGGGAGCATATAGTAATGCAATAGCAGCTATGTTTTTATGGGTTGTTTTAAATTTAATTTTAAGCTGAATTTGAACAAATAATATTAAGCTCCTTTTCTACCCTATTTTTTAAATTGTATAACCAATATTACAAAAAAGAACAACTTGAAACATCCTATAATCATGCTGCAAAATTATTTTGTTTACAGATCATTCAGTAATAAAGACTGAACTTTGGCCATGGTAAAAATAGCAATTAATTGACTCTTATTTTGAGTCACATGGTAGCTTATGGAGGAAATTATATGTTTGTGTGACTGAGAATAATGAATAATACACAAAGGAATTAATGCAATTATATATCTAGTGTCCTGTACAAAGAACCAGTGAAGGCACAAGATCCTTGTGTTAGAAAAGCTACCTAAAATGCCATCTGCAGTTGCCAGATGCTGGGGGGAAATATTATTGCAGCCAGAAACTCCAAAAACAAATCTAGCCCTGAAGCATGAGTACAAAAATGAAACAAAACAGACATTGCTTGTTGGAAGAACATGTATTTTTAAGCGAGATGTAGATGCAAATATCGAAATTTGGAGAATGAAATCAAGATGGAAACACTGTGTGGGGTTCCAGTCCCATCCTGGCATGCAAGGAATCCAACTGCAGTATGTTGTATTGCTTTTCTTTCCCCATCTCAGAGCTGTCCAGGCTCTGGCTACTTATTTCAACCTATCCATCTTGAACCAGATAGCTGATCTGGCTGCACACATATATATACAGAGGTTAGTCTGCAGATGTTCACTGATTTTTTACACAATCCAAATCACCCTGTCCCCAAACACTAATTTCAGTATTATTTTCTAATACCTTCTGTCCTTCCTAGATCTTACAATGGAGCCCCACATCTACTAATTTGACTATAAACTGGCAATTTGAAGCCACCACAAGATAACCAAACACTGGATAATCAGTGACAAGGGAAACCTTTAATTCAGAGAAGTTGATGCTAGAGGCCTCAGGCTGTCTCTCCTACCACCATACTGTTCATTTTGGCATTGAATGGAAAAAGGTCCTGGCTTCTCTCTCTAAATGAAGGGAATCGAGAGTTACGTCACAAAGGCTCAACAAAAAGAAGGCTACAAAATTTTAAGCTATGTTTTGAAGATCTTGTTTGCTATAACAAAGGGTTGGACACAGATGTGTTCCCACTCTGCTCCCAAGATTCTTTACATAAAGTCAAAGACATAAGTCCACCAGGGCTATTAGATAGAATGATCCATATTCTGACTGAGGTAGTCCTTAACCTAGTATCTTCTGGAAGTTTGGAGGATGTACAAGAGATGGGATCAGTCTACTACAAAAACTTTAGTGTTTCAGGTACACTTTTCCTTAAATGTCTACTGCTGGCCTAGAAGGTGGTATGGGATTTATTCAGCCTTTGACAGGCTGAGGTGACAGGTCACATGGTGACATTTAAATTTTCATATACTTGACTATACCAAATGCTGCTTAATGACCAGAGTTATGAAAATATAAAACCAAGCTGGTGACAGAGGCTCAAAAGAGCTCTCCCTTGACTCCATTTCTCCTGTCATACATAGTGAATACTAGGGATTGTTTCTTAAAACAGGAGCTTGGGAAGAAGCTACAGTAAGTTTTAGAGATTAAAAAAAATTCTGGGATGAGAACAGGGGTTTTATGAGAACCAAGTAAATTAAATTCAACAATAAAGAACTACTGTGGGAGGGGGTGTGGTTGATGGCCTCCCTGCATTACCCTGGGAGGCAACAGATGTTTAGTTTCCCGCCTCCCCCAGTTGTCAGTTATTTGTTATCCCTTCCCCCTGTCCCTGTCAATCACTGTGTACTCCTTCCCTCAGTTCTAGAAAGTTCTAAGTTCTTTGTATCCCCATTGGTTCTCCCCCCGAAACCACTCCTTCCCTCTATCCCAGTTGGCCGTTGCCGTGTCACTCGTTACTGACTCCACCCTCAACCCCTCACCCGGTTGGATGCTCTGTACCCTGACCCTCCTTCCCTGTTACAGTTATAATCCCTGCCCCGCCCCTGCTTCGGGGCTCTCAGAGCTGGCTGTCCTTCTGAGTGGCTGTGTCCCTTTGCTACCCACCTCACCTTCCCTGCTAGAAGCCCTCAGGAATAAAGCCTCTTGAGAGTCACCTGCCTGGTGGAAGCCTCTTCTCTCTACAACCATCGACGGCTCCTGAGGTCCCGACCCTGTGGCTATCCGGAGCGGTCAGAGGACCTAGGAACGCGTCAAACTACTGAATCATATAAAAAGCGTGCTACACAAAGTACAAGGTAGGATAGGATATGTAAATAAAGTTCTTGTTTATCAGCATAAAAGGGTTCTTCTGGGGAATCAAGAAAATACCATACAGGAAAAGAAAAATTGGGGAGGGTTGCTTTCAAAAGCTTTTAGTAAAATTTAGTAACAGAGGGACTATTAAGGGACTGACTATAATTTTAAGCTTGGACATTATAATTAAAAATGACTGGGAGAATGAAAGAACAGCAATAGAGAGTGTTCTGTATAACAGGTGAAAAATAGGAGCAATTAAGGCAGGATTGCCTAATATAGAGGGGCCCATGGCAGCTGGCAAAGAAAAACAAAAGCCAGGGGTCATAAAAGATGCAGACCACATGAGAGTCGTTGGGCTGTAAACTCATGAGCAAAGAGGCAAAGTTGCAGGTTTAAACCTGCAGCAAGCCATGCAGCAGCAGCTGTGTGCACACATGCAAGCTGTGCATTGGGAAGCCTGAGAATACTGCAGGCTGTACCTTGAAAAGCAGGCGTGAGAAAATTGTCCTCAAGTCACCCAGGGAACACTTCTTACGGTTTGGGGAAGAGCTAAGCTGCTTTAAGAGATTGAGATGTGTACTTCTATCTTTTTTAAAAGGTTTCTTTTCCCACCAGGCCAAGTTGATGCAGGTGTGATTGGACAGCTGCCTAAAGGCCTTGCAGCATGAGTTGAATGCAGCTGGTTCAGGAAATTCACTGTAAGCTTGGAAGGGTTGTGGTGCCACAGAAAGATTTGTGTGCTCTTCCCAGCCACTGTGGTCAATGAAATGTGCAGCTGAGGAACGGCAGAACTTCAGTCTCCATCCTCACATAAGCCAGACCATTCAGCTGCATTTGGAAGAATATAAAGCGATATGAGTGCTGTGACAGACACCAGTATGTCCTGAACTCACATTCATTGATTTTAACCAGTTTGTTCCTTTCATAAAATAAATACATACAAAACCTGCAGCATTCATGGAAACTGAGTGGTGTCCCTGTCCTCCAGGAGCAACAACTCCCACATGATTTCCAGCATTTGCTACAACTGTTCTTGAGTCACTGCCCACAGCTTCAGCCAACCAAGGCCCTTAAACCAATGAACCTCTACAAACTGGAGATCACCAAGTACAGGGACCCAGAACTGGATCACACACCTTCTGTAAAAAGGAAGAGCAAGGTAAGATGCAGAAACGTTGTCATAGAAGCGTGTCTTGCCTGCTGGACTACACTTAAGAGACAAGAAAACACCACATTCACAACACCTGCCTGAGTCTGGATCAGCACTTAGATAACCAAGCCTTTCCCAGCCCATATATCAAATTGAATAGAGTGTGAGGGAAGAATTCAGCTTCCCAGAAATCAGATGAACCCTTCTGACTGCTGGAATTAAGAGCAGACCACCCTACCTTTCATCCAGCAGGTAACCAGATACAAAAGTAAACAGCCCTGCTGGGAAAGACAGAAAGTTACCGTGTTCAGAGGGTGCCATAGCAGAACTGTCAGCATGTTTCTCTTCAACAGCTGGACATGTTCAGTAACCTGAACCCCCTTTCCCATGACCAAAAAAAGTCTGTGGCCAAGTCTAACTCAAGGTCCAGATGATCCCATGGGAAAGTAGTCAGAAGTACATTTGGGGATGCTCTCAGCATGGTTTAAGTTTAATTTTTCCAGACTTAGAGATTTGGAAGATGTTTTTTCCTGATATTAACCATGGATCCATTTTCCTACTTAAAAAATCCACCCTGCTAAAAAATCCACTTGCTTTTTATTTCATTTAAATCAGCAGCCAGGAAAATTCAAGGCAAATATTTTTCCTTGAAATCAAGTTTCTGAACAGCTTTCCTAAACTGCTCCCCCATCACCATCATGTCCCTGCTAATGGTTATGTTACCAGCCCCTCTTTTTTTTTTCCCTCCTTGGATCCAAACTCTGTTTCCCCTTACTCACTCTTCCACCCAGATAGGAGACCTCTGTAATAACACTTCCCAGATCTCCAAAAACACTCTTTGTAACTCTTCCCAGATCTCCAAAAACACTCTTTGTAACTTATTCTGATTGCTTGCACCAGGGGGAGGGAATCGTGACTAAGGCTCCCCTCCTGCAGTTTTTCTTCACCAGCACACCAAGGTGCTCCAGATCCCTCCTTCCTAAACCCACTCCTCTCCAGTTCCCCCATCACCATCTTCCCAGTTGTCACCTTGTCTGCCACACAGACTAAACTGTTCAGCCATACTTCTAAACTGAGTCTGGTAAATGTTCTAGTTCCAAGCAAAACAAAATCTTCCTCCTCCTAAGTGTTGGAGGGGTTTAAATAGCTCATTTGGCACATCCAGCTGAGAGCTGGGATGGGAAAACAATGGGAGGAGCAGGGCTAAAGGGGGGCAGCAACCTCCCGTGGAGGAGGGTGAGAACACACAGCTGGGGAAGGCAGAAAAAAAGGTGGAAAGCTCTCCAGCCCTGCCGAGGAAATGTAAGGGAGAATTGCAGGTGTATCTTACAGGCTGAGTGAAATAAGTTAAATTCTATTAGTGGGTAGGTCAATTTAAATTAAGAGTGCTGTGCTAAAGAAAACAATGCAACAGCAAGTGAATAGAGGGTGTTTTCATAGGGTAGTGGTTCATATGGTACATTGTTTTCTGGCAGGAAAAGAGGAGGGAATTTTTATTTTGCATGTGCTTTGTGTTTGAGTAGCTAGATACCTCATATGGGTAAATAGGAAATAAAATGTATTCTTTTTTTATAAATTCTACCAGTAGTCTCCTCATTTATTTTAAAGTCCTATAAAGCTAGGAAAAGACAAAAAAGAAAACACATATGCCCAGAATGGATGTTGACATTACTAACTGAATCTGAAGATTTCTCATGCAGGAAAAAAATACAATTTGATAATCAAATCCTTATCAAATAAGAATAATTTTTAATGTAATTTTGTATCAGAATATTTTTCTTTTTTAATTTTGTTGCAAATTCTGAGCACTGTGTTCTGCACTACAGTAAAACACTGTATTAACAGAAAAAAAAATCATTGTAACTGATTCTCACGTGATTAGTACCCATAGTCACCCACAGGCAAAATTAGTGTAAGGCAAAGAAGAATGCTCATAAAAGTAGTGAAAAAGCTATTGTAGAGTCTTCCTGAGGTTCAAAGGCAAATTTTGAAAGTAGCTACAGAACTTTTAGCCCAAAAGGTTTTACAGGTGGACAGTTAGTCTCTATCATATATGAGGAAGAAGACTGCAAAACAAAGCAACCTGCAGACTGGCCTGCAGACCTGAATCAGCTCCCTGTATGCAACCAGAGGTTGATACCATTGATACCAACAAAATGTTTACTCTGCTACATGGCTAGGGGAACTCTGCTGCTCAGGATGCACAAAGTTTTTCACTATATGTCATAGTGCCTCTCCCAAAGGGAGAAGAGCTTGCTGCAGCTTGCCCCTGCCACACAAAAAAAAAAAAAAAAAAAAGCAGCCCTTGCTCCCCACAGCACAATTGCTCCAATAAACAAGCGTTAATCATGCACATTATGCACAACATAATACATGTGAGCTTGTCAGCAGGCAAACAGCTCCATCTCTGAATAAAAACCCTTTCCAAATTAGAAGGAACAAATTACACAAGCAGACAGCTGTTTGGTGACCTACCTAAAACAATTTGATGGTCTCAGCCCAGTTCCTCACAGGCAGGTGTCTGCTTCGCAGCAAACATCAGCACCATTTGCATTACTGACCAGCTGCCTAGCAAACTCAGCAGGCAAGCTGGGCCTGGCCTTGCCGGGGCTTTTTCTCCCCTTGGCCCCAGGGCTGGTCCCCCCAGGTAGGAAGGACAGACAGGGAATGCGCGGAATGACAGTCAGCCCCCAGAAGGAGAGTATGAATTTCCAGCCATTTCAATCTAGCCAACAAGGAAAACAACAGAAAAAGCAAGAACAGTGTGGATTAACATGATAAAAATAATCAAAAACTGGTGGATTTTTAGAAAGCAAATCTAAGACATCGTGGCTTTGTTTAGTGGGAACCTTGCTTTTCCATGTCTAGAAATCCCATCCTGAATTCAGTGACAATGGGCTTGATTCTCCACAGCCCACTTACTTTCAGTATCTTCCAGCAAAACACAACTGAGAAATAAAGATCATGGGCTTAAAAATTTGCTTTTCACTCATTGCTTGGGGATTTCATTATAGTGTAGAATAATAATGCACTTTTGTAGGGAATTTAGTCCACTGCTTTATACTAATTCTGCCAACCTCATGCAGAAAGAACTTGTATATTTATCAGAAGCCAAATATTTATCTCAGATAAGTAGAAGGATAAAACTAAGATATACTAGGTGTCAGTGCATACTTTTAAGCCACCATTGTGAAAACTCCGACATTTTTCAATAATTGACTTTAAGATGTCAGGCTTCAAAATCATCCAGTTCTCCAATCAGTTTACTTGTATTAAGTACCTTGGTGATGAATTTCAGAAGTTTCCCTTTTCCTTCCAGTTTAGAACCAAGCACAGAAAAGAAAGAAAATGGATACATCTGGAGTAGATTCTCCACTCTTGGTCTTTTTGCTGCCTGAAAAGATCATCAGGACCACTGACACCCCAAAATCATAGAATGACTTGGGTACCTTGTCCTGAGATTCAGTGTCTAAGGAGGCAATTCTGCAGGCATTAACATAAAATTCAAGTTACTTGTTTGAATGCTGTCATGTGGGGTTAACTGGTGTCACTACCACCTTCACTTCCTCCAGAAACTCTGAATTTGAATGTCAGGAGCTTTTGTGATGGATGCATCTGTAAATAATTAGCACTGCTTTGTTGAACACTAATTGTGCAGCTGTGCTGGATGAAGTCTCAAAATAGATGTTGCAAACTAAAAAGGATCAAATTTTCTTCTTACTCCAGCCTGATCCCAGAATGCCAGAGCTGTCAAATCAGAGTATGGCATGGCCTCAAGGGTCAAATTCACCTCTGGGTGAATCTCTTATGAGTCATGTGTTTATAGATCAGCCTCACAGGGTGAAAAGCTGCTCTTTGTTAGGAACAATGATAACTGGTAGTCTCGGTATCCATCCTTGGATTTGCCATGTGGCTTAGCAAGAAAAAAATCAAGGGTAGAATGGATAGAAGCCACACAGAGTTCACTCAAACAGCAACAGTATTGTTTTGAGTTTCTCTTCTAAAAAAGACCATACCTGTGGACTCCATTGCAATGCTGCTTTACTTTTTCAACACTGTCATTTTATGATACTGTACACAGACAGGTCATCTTTTCTCCGTCAATTTATATCTCTTTACATGAGATAGAACCCCCACCACCTTGAAGGGTGGGAGAGGATACTTGCTACTCTCATAACACACTCTCTGGACCTATTTCTGAGATCTTCCAACTTCCAGTCCCTCCAGCTGCTCTATCAATATCAGTTCTCAATTGCATTCTTGTGCCTTTCTTCTTTCATCTGTCTTAGTATTGATCCTCAATTACTCTCCAATTTCCCAAAATATCAACCATGCACATCTACAACACCAGCGCTTCCCCTATAGTCATCCTAAGAACAGCCACTGCACACAAAGCTGCATGCATATAGCCACTATTTTTCTCCCTTCTCTAATCTCAACTCCCTCTAACACAGAATCACGTTTTCAAATGAGATGGATCATTTTGGCTTCTGAACTAGGAAAACAAAGAGCAAGATCAGCCTCCTACTTCAGCTTCCTGAGATTGGCTTCTGACTTCCTTCCTGACAACTGTCCAAACATAAAGCATTCAAGGAATTTCAAAGCAGTTTTTAATGTTCTAAATACCTTTCCAAGTCTCTTTTGGCTGAAAAGACTATAAATTCATGAAGATGTTAGCCATCCCATGGCTTCATTTGTCAGTGAATAGTTATTTGTGAAAGCAAATCCCTTTATCATGTACTGTTCATTACTCTGGACTCCTACACTTCCTCCCACACTTACCAGAAATTTCACCTATTCAGCA